AATTAATTTTTTTGCCCAAGGGCTGATGCATACAGGATTATTTAATGGTTTTGTGTTTAGACTGTTTTACTGCCACTAGATGGCAGTAAAAATTTTATTCTTAACAATGAGAAGTGCTTATCAGTTTTTAAGCTTACTTTAAGAGAGATTTTAGAGGCCTAAAGTTCGAGGTGTCTGTTTTGAAATTACGTAACCGTAGCCAAGTCTCAGTATGTTCTTTCGTAGGACCTATGTTTATTTTATCCAGGGATAAAACTCTTGTCGCCCTCCATAGCAATTCATATTAGGGAATGTGCGGGGGGGGGGGGGGGGAGGAGACATAAAGCATATAATTTCATTTTATAAAACATTTTTATGATATAAAAATATGGTAATTGTAAAAAACTTTGGAAATACAGATATTTTAAATCACTCCTAGAAATAATCTGTTAATTGTTACATTTCTTCCCAGTATTTTTTTGTGCATGCAAAATTAAAATCACGTGGAACATATAGTTTTACACTTTATGTTTCAAACTAATGTTACATTTTCTTTCCCTGTGTCATTAAATGTCTTTTTACAACTTGAGTCACACTGTTGGATAAACCATGATGAATTCAATCAATCCAATGTTGTTGGGTACGTTACTTCCAGTTTTTTACTATTATAAACAATGCTGCTATGAACCTAATCTTTGTTTTTTTAATCTTCACTTGAGGATATGCTTATTGACTTTAGAGAGAGAGGAAGTGAGGAAGAGAGAGGCAGAGAAAAATGGATGTGAGAGAAAATCGATTGTTTGCCTTTCATATGTGCCCTGACCAGCAACTGAACCTGCAACCTAGGTATATCCCTGACCAAGAATCGAACCCACCAGCCCTTGGTCTACGGACAGTGCTCCAACCAACTAAGCCCCACTAGCCAGGGCTAAACCTAAATCTTTCCTTAGGGTATATTTTTGGAAATTAAATTACTAAGTAAAAAGATATGAATTTTCAAGCTTTGCCTACATATCATCAAGTGAGTTCCTAGAAAGGCTTTAGCAGATTTGAGCTCCCAAGGAGCAACAGGGTGACCCTCTCACCATATTTCTTGCCAACACTGAGTATTATGGTATAGGGTTGGTTGGTTGGTTGGTTTTAACAGGGCAGGAGGTAGGCTGGGGAACTGATCTTTATAGTATCTGATGTTTAAAAAGTCAGTTTCTAACCATATAATTTCAGAAATTTGGGCCAGGACAGGTCCGCCAATTGAGTTATTTTTGTTTCCAAGACCTTAAGTGTTACAGTCAGCTTGTCTACTGCAGGTGTTGTGAATACTCTCTAGGGAACTGTTTATGGTTATTTTAAACGTTACTCAGAAATTATTTACAACCCCTACTCACACCTTCTGATTCTATTGAACATCCTAGGGGGTGTTTGTTTGTGAGGAACTAAAACATACCAAAGTCCTGAGGGACTGAAGGGCCTGTGGCCCTAATGGGCCCCAAGGAAGGTAGTGAGAGAAGTCAGCCCCAGGTAGGGGTTACAAAACTTGGGGCTAGGCTTTATAGCTTTGGGAACTAGTTGGGGCTTCATATAAGAGTAATTGGGAGACACAAAGCGGGTTAAGCTGAAGACCAATTAAATATGCCTTGTTAAAAAAAACTATACCAGCTGGTCAGGGAAAGTGGATACAGGGAGGTTTCTTTCAAGGTGGTTTAGCCATAGAGTAGGTAATCAGCCTTGGGCATGTTACTAAATCTCTGTGTGTTTTAGTTTGCTTATCTCTAACACAGATTCAGTAATATCACTACTCCATATACTGGGAGGATTAAATGAGTTGCTATTTGTAAAGTGCTTTAAACAGTTCCTGAAATGTAAGTGCTTTAAGTGTTTGTTAAATAGAATGCCGAAAGTCTGGTTGCAGAAGGCTCATCACTTCCAGTTCTGTCCTCCCTCCATCTAGCATCAGACTGACCTCCTTGAAAAACCCAAACTGCCCTTGACTCTGAGCCCTTGGCCGTCTAGTTTCCAAATCAAGCTCGGCCTCCTCCCTCCCTCTGCAGGGTCTGGCGTGGGTACCTACACATGGATGCGGCATATGGCTGGCCAAGCCTGGCTAGTCTTTCCTGTACCAGAACACCTGCATCACACCCCACACAGGGGGTCAGGCCCCAGTCACAGCTTGCTGAGAGTACCACAAGCGCTTCCTACTGTGGTGAACTAGGCAAAGTCCTCCAGGAAACAGCGCCCCTCAGAGGATGGTTCCCTGGCTGTCATTTACTTCTCCTGGCTTTGCTGACCTTACCACACTGCTTCCTCTCAACCAGGCTGTACTTGGTGTTTGAAAATAACAGAGATAACCTCTCCGGAGGCTATTGTCAATTCCTATTTGCTTTCTGTATTCATAAAGGACACCTTTGAACCTGATGGGGGAAAAAAAGAAACACAAAAAATAAGTAAGTGACTTCTATCCAACCTCTTCTCCATTCTGTAAAAGGCGCCTTTTTAATTATCTTAAACATTGCAAACAATTCACTTTAACTCCATAAATTTTCTGTTTTATTTCTCTCCAGCGGATTTTTTTTTTTATTGTTTTTAAGTACAGTTGTCTCCATTTCCTCCCCCACCACCACTCCCCCAGCAGATTTATTTTTGTAAATCACATTATACATAGAAATTTATATGTGCAGGAAATTTTTTAAATCATAAATATCTTCAACTGAGTAGTAATGTTTTAAAGCTACTTTGTTAACTTACTATGAACTCTAATTTAAAAACAGTAGATGGGATCTCATTTAGGGACAACAGGTTTCAACCTATATTACTTAGTGATGTTGCCGGGAGTTCTGTTTTAAGGATTCTGAGCACGCAGAAAGAAAGTACCATAATTTCCAAAACGGGTACATACCAGGCCTGGAGTAAGATTTTCCTCAGGGAAGAAACTCCTCTAGAATAGTGGTGGGGAAAGGGAGATATGGCACAAAAGGCTTCCTTTGTATTTCTAATGCTTTATTAAGTTTGATGGTGGGCACAATGTGCCATTTTATTTTATATGTTTTTGAATATGTGGAATAGTTCATGATAAACTTGAAATAACTGCCAGGCCAGATTAGTGATATTAAATCTGGGCATTACGTGTGTGTGTGTATTTTATCCTGGTCTTGTGAGGCCTATCCTTGACTTCCATAGATTCAGCTGTCTACATGTTTGTGTATGTACTCACACATTTATATGCACATACACAAAATCATTTTATCTCATAATATGTACTCACAAAATACAGTGCAGGACTTTTTAAAAAATGTAAAATGACTATTTCTCTGTGAATATACCAAAAACCACGGGGTTGTACACTTTAAAATGGGAGAATTTTATGGTATAATGGGAGAACTTTATGATACATGAGTTATATCACAATAAAGCTGTTAAAATATTCCCAAGTACAACACTTTTTCTAAAAGTAAATTTTTTTCTTAATTAGAAAAGAAGTACATGGACATATAGGGGACTGGAAAATATATTAAAGTAAAAAGAAGAAAAAACATATATATCCATAATAGCACCACCCTAGAGACTGTTAACAGTTGGTGATATTTTTGTTCATTTTTTTCTATTTCTACATATGGATTATTTTTATATTGATCATTTCTGTGCATAAAATTTTACATCTTCCATTCTTCATTTAACATTATAATATATCCATTTAAAATGCTGTTACAAATTTTTCATAAACATTTTAATGTCTTACAATGAACCACTATAAATTAATCATTACATGATGTTAGACATTACTCACTATGAGAAGTAACACTGTAACAAACATCTTTGAGCATAACCCTCATGGTCATATTTGGATTTATTTGCTCAAATGTATGCTAGATATATTAAAAGTTCTGAATGCTTTTAAAACCTTATAATGTATTCTCAAGTTGCTTTTTATAAGTTAGGTCTCTATCAATCTATAAGACATCTTTGTTCAGGTTACAGACCTCTGGGCAGACATATCCTGGCAATCCAAGCTCGAGGGTGCGTTGTGGACTTTGTTACGCACCTGCTCATATTCTCTCTGGGTGCCTTAGTGTGGTTCACAGCAGCACTGATGTATGGATACTAATTTATATTCTTCCTGTAGCTCACACAGAGTACTATTTCAGAAGACTCAGATTAGTATTAGTTAGGTATTCATGCCTATAAAATCTTTATTAAGTGAAAAAATGATATGTTAATGTTTAAATTTACCCTCTTTGATTATGAGGGTGAACATTTCTTCATGTGTTTCTTGGGCATTTGTATTGCCTCTTATAAGTTACTTGTTCCTACTCATTTTTTTATGCTCAGTGTTATTTAGTATTTTGCATAGTAATTTGGTTATATGTGATCTGTATTATTTTTTGTCAGTGTTCTTCCTAGTTTGTACTTATTTTATGAAAAACAAAAGGTTTTATTTTTATTGAGAATAATCAGTTATTTGCTTCCTTGATGTCAGAGTCCTTCCCCATTTAGACATGTGAAAAGCACTTATATTTTCTCCTTTTTGTTATTTAATTTTTACATTGATCTCTTGAATTTATGTTAAATTCAAGCATATTTTGATAAGTAACATAAGGTAAGAATCAAACTTTTTTCAAATAGTTCTCCCTGCACTATTTTCACATAATCTTTCCTTTCTCTGGTGATTTAGGTGTGTTCCTTGTCATTTCATTATTGTATCTATTCTGATAAAAATATTTTGCTGAGTTTAAAACCAATAAAAAGTACATTCTTAATATGGTTAAAGCACTGTTTGTTCATTATATATTTTTGTTTCACTGTTTATACTTGTTTAAATTGACTTAACTTTGAGTGTAATAATTTTAATACTAACTTATTTCTTCTTTATCCTTGAATCAAAGTGAACTGAGTATTTGGACAAAGTACGATTACTCATTTCATAGGGGCCATCCCATTTACAAATGACCCAAATTCTAGGCATTAAGCCTAAGAGGCACTTGCATTCACTTTTAAGAGTTTTTTTCTCTTTCTGTTTACATTTTTAGGGGTTGTTATCTCATATACTTTCAGCACTCAGATTTGATAAAAAAGAAGTTGGTCTTTTTACTCAGAGCCTTGGATATACATCTGCAGATTACTATCCTCGTTTGCTCAAAAATGTGAGTATTTTTAATTTATTAGTACTGAAAATTTCATTTGTTAGTACATCATCAGAAAAAAAAAAGAATAAATGGAAATATATCACTTATCTAGAAGAGAGGTTTAATTTTTCTATTTTTATCTTTTTTTACTTTGGATGGACTTAAGACCAGGAAAGGAAGAAATGTGAGATGTGAAGATTATGAAAAGGAGGAGGAAACCAGGGGAGGTTATTCTAAATCAGCTAACTTCTCTGTCTTTTAACACATTTCATTTATTCTCTCAAAGACTTTTAAGCAAAGAGATTTCCTTAACCAAACACAGCCTTTTATTGTGAGACAAGTTTTGCATTTAAAGTAACTTGATAGGAATTCTTTGTCAAAGCAAAAAATTTAATAAATAATAATCTTATAAATTCTATTACGTATTTACGTCTTGGTATTAAAGCTATGTATTCTTCTGCCTTAAATTTTAGCTAAATTTATTAATTTTAATTTTGTTTTTAACATAACTCTTCTAGGAGATTTTTAATGTTTGTTAAATATTTTGGTATTTTGGAAGATTTATCTATGAATAACATTTAAAAATGAAGATCTAATTAAGAAAGAAGCAGCAAAGTAACTCTAATGTGATTTTATTTTTAATGGGTTTGGTTTTAATTCTTACAAAATTATCTATCTGTTCATTTGCTTAAAAATTAATTCAGAATAACAGCAAACACAAAATCCAAATTATTAGTAAATGTAACTTGGCACTGCTTCTTTTTACTTTGACAAAGTAAAACAAGGAGAGGACTGGTGCAGTAGGGTAGGGAATCTCAACGGAAATACCACTCACACCTAGAAAGAGAACTGATGTAATCCTGTTTGCAGTGTGAGTTAACCTGCAACTGATTTTGTTTTACAGATGGTTTTATCATTAGTGTCTGAACTCAGAGAGAATCATATTAATGGATTTAACACTCAAAGGCGGTAGGTGTCAAACTAAACATCCCTCTTCTCAGGTTTCAAAATGTATCAGTTTGGATATGAGAGAAAAAGTTTATAATTCTTAGGAAATGCACAGGTTCATAGTTATGGTTATATCCTATGTGGAAAGACTATTTTAATGGAATACATGGAGAATTGGTGGGTTTTATCAAATTTAATCACTATCCTCTTAGCTCTCACAGGGCAATAAATCATGCAATGTCGCCTATGCACCCATTGAGTAAAAAACCCTGCATATGCAGTAGGGAACACAAAAGAAAGAAGTGCTCAGCTCAATGTGTATGTGTATCATTACACATGCATACAATCAGGATATTTATAGAACAACAGATAATTGCTATGTACATGTGACTTATATGACCTATTGTAAGAAACAACATTTCAAAATTTAGACTAAACAAATCAAATGAGTCAAATTAAAAAGCAATTAATCACATTATAGAATGTTTCTTCAGTATGAGAAAGAATTCAAAGTTGATTTCAATGGTGAGCATTTCATTTTTAACAAATCATTAACTAGGAGAATCTAGGGACCAAGGCACCATTTAAAGCTCTACCAGAATTAGTGTTTGCTCTCAGACTTTGAAAATCCTTTCATTATAATCCTTAAAGTAAATTAAAAAGTTCTTAGAGGAAAACGTGAGAAAATCTTCATTGCGTTGGATTGGCAGTGATTTTTTTTTTTTTTTTGTATATGATATCAGAAGCACAAACAGTTTTTTAAAAACTAGATAAATTGGACTTCATTCAAATTAGGAACTTATATGAGGATACTATCAAGAAAGCAAAAAGACAATCTGCTGAATTACTAGGTTGGAAATCATGTATCTGACATGGTATTAATATCCAGAATATGTAAAGAACTCCTAAAACGCATTAACAAAAACTGAAATTAAAGATTGTCAAGAGATTTGACTAAACATTTCTCTAGAGAATATGTACAACTAGCCAGTAAGCACATGAAAAGATGTTCATCATCACCAATTATTAGAGAAATGCAAATTGAAATCACAATGGGATACCACATCACACTTACTAGGATAGCTGTAATTTCAAAAACAAATAAAAATGAAGACTAACATCTTGGTGAAAATGTGAAGCAAGTAGAGCCCTTGCACATTGCTGGTGGGAATAGAAAAAGATGCAGCCACTCATCTTTTGATGGAAAAACAGTTTGGCAGTTCTTCAAGAAGTTAAACACAGAATTACCATAAGACCCAGCAATTCTATTCCTAGATATGTACTCAGAAGAATTGAAAGCAGGGACTCAAACAGATGTCTGTGCACCAAGTTTATAGTAGTATTATTCACAGTAGCCAAAAGGGGGAAACAAGCAAGTGCCTATCAAGAGATGAACAGATAAACAAAGTGTGGTGTACAAATAAAATAGAATATTATTTAGCTAGAAAAAGGAATAAAATTTTTATGTATGCAAGAACATGAATGGACTTTGGAAACATGATGTTTAGTGAAATAAGCCAAATACAGAAAACAAATACTGTATGATTCCACTTATATGAGGTACCTAGAATAGGCAAATTCATAGAGACAGAAAGCAGAACAGAGATTGTCAGTGCCTGAAGGGAACAGAGTAATTGTTTAATGGATACCTCATTTATTTTGGGGATGAGGAAAAGCTATGAGTATAGATTATGGCGATGGATACATGGCCTGTGAATATATTTAATGCCACTGGATGGTACCACTTACAAGTGGTTAAAGTAATAATTATTATATATGTTTTAGTACAATAAAAGAAATTAAACTTTGAAGAAAAAGCAAATGTGGTATCACTATAAACTCCCTCAAATGACTAACATTTAAAACACATTAGCATGTGTTGGAGAGGATATAGAATTACTGGATCTTTCATAAACTATTTGTAAGAATGTGAAATAGTATAACTATTTTTGTAAACAGTGTGGAAGTTTATTATGAAGTTAAACATAAAGTTACCACATGACCCATTGATTCCATTCTGGAGTATTTACTCATGACAAACGAAAACATGGGTATTCACAAATATTTCTGTATAGTCATAGCTGCTTTATTTGTAATAGTTCAAAACTAGAAAATTCAAAGGACCTTCAGTATGTGAATAAATAAAAATAATCTATTACCACCATTTAAAAAATTAAAAGACAAGCCACAAACTGAGAAAATATTATTATTAATCTGATAAAGAACTCAAACCCAGAATATATAAAGAACTCAATAAGACAGATAACCCAGTTAAAAACTGGCAAAAGATTGGAATACATGCCACCAAAAAAATGTATACAAAAGGCTTATAAAAACATGAATATTTGTATGTAAATGTTATAGCAGCATTATTCATAATACAAAAAAATGGAAGCAACCCAAATATCCATCAACTTATGAATAACCAAAATATGGTATGTCCAATCAATAGAATATTATTCCTAAGTAAAAATGAAAGAAGCTACTGACATGCTGCAGCATGTGTGAATCTCAAAAATATGCTTAGTAAAAAAGAAAATCAATCATAAAAGAACACATATGATTCCATTTTTTACAAAATGGCCAGAATAGGCAAATCTATGAATATAGAAAGTAAATTAGTTATTGCTTGGGGTAAGAAGTAGGAACAGGGATTTCCTTCAAATGAACACAAAACACCCTGCAGTGATGGAAATGTTCTAAAATTGATGATGATGGTTGTCCAACTCAATAATTTATTTAAAATGTTTGGTGTATATATTTCAAATATGTGCCTTTTGTGGTATATAATGTATACCTAAGAATAATAAGATGAATCCCTAGAGTTCATGGAAAGCATTTACAATCATGGGCTGGCCTGTGTAGCTCAATTGATTGGAGGGTCATCTCATGACTGAAATGTTGGGGTTCAATTCCTAGTCAGGGCACATGCCTAGGCTGGAGGTTCAATCCCCAGTCTGGGTGCTTACAGGATGCAACTGACTGATGATTCTCTCTCACACTGATGTTTTTCTCTATCTTCTCCTTCCTTTCTTTCAAAAAAGCAATGCAAAAATGTCCTTGGGTGAGGATAAAAAAAAACAAACTTTTTTTTCTTAAATTACTTTATTTTTTTTTATTATTTTGTACTTATTTTTTATGGTCCTTTAAACTTATAAATCATGTTTATTCTATTACAGTTGTCTCAATTTTTACCCCTTTATCCCCCTCCACCCATCCTACCTCCACACCCCACCCCCACAGTCAAATCCCACTCTGTTGTCCATGTCCATGGGTCATTCATACATGTTCTTTGTCTAGTCCCTTTCCCTTCTTTCCACCATTGTCTTCTTTCTCCATCCCCTCTGGTCACTTTCAGTTTGCTCCATGTTTCCATGCCTATGTTTTGTTTTGTTTGTTAGTCTGTTTTGTTGAATAGAGTCCACTTATAGGTGAGATCATATGGTAATTGTCTTTCATCAACTGGCTTATTTCACTTAGCTTAATATTCTCCACTTCCATCCATGTTGTCACAAAATGTAGGAATTCCATCTCCCTCTCTTTCTTTTTCTTTCTTTCTTAAATGCAGATTGACTTTATCTCTTTTTTTAAATGTCAAAGTTGATTATAAAATATTAAAAAATTTAAAACCATTATACAGTCTAATCAATTAAACCAACATGGCACCAGCACAGAAATAATCAAGTAGATCAATGAAATATTCTAGACACAAACATATATATCTGTCTAACAATATAATATATAATTAAGTTGATATTTCAAATCAATGGGTAAAATAAGGTTTATTTAACAAATAAGATGCATGGACCACTATTACTTGAAGTAAAACAAATATAGAGCCCTAGTTCACACATTATACAAGAAATATTCAGGTGAGACAAAAATCAATATGTAGAAATTAAGGAGTTTTAGGGGAAAATACAAAATTATATTTTTCTTACCCCAAAGTAAAATATTCAAACCCAGAAGCTATAAAGTGAAATATTGATGATATGACTATATTAAACATTGAAAACTGTACAGTAATATACATATAAAAAATGTTAAAGGACAAGTAATAGAACAGGAAAGTATTTACAACACATCTAAAAAAAGATTAATGGTTATGTTTTCTTTTAGGGAAAAGATTCAATGAACATTTAATCCAAAAATGGATAAAGAATACCAGAAAGTCATTTAAAGCTTTTTAAAAATAACAGAAATAGGCAAGAAATATACAAAATCAGATTTAGTTTCAACAAATAGTAAAGGAATAATTAAAATAACACATCATTGTCACAATCAGATTAATACATATTAAAAAATATTGGTAATATTAAGTACTGACAACTGTGTAAGGAACTGGGTATTGATAGACTCTTTTTCTTCATCTCCTTAAAGCAGTCCCTTTAGCATATCTTGCAGTGCTGGTTTGGTGGAAGTGTATTCTTTTAGCCTTCTTTTGTCTGGGAAATTCCTTATTTCACCTTCCATTTTAATTGAGAGCCTTGCTGGGTAGAGCAGTCTTGGTTGCAGGCCTTTGCTTTTCATTTCTTGGAACATTTCTTGCCATTGCCTTCTGGCTTGCAGTGTTTCTGTTGAGAAGTCAGCTGCTAGCCATATTGTGGCTCCCTTATATGTTACTACCTCTTTCTCCCTTGCTTCCTTTAGGATTCTCTGTTTGTCTTTGATATTTTCCATTTTAATTATGATGTGTCTTGGAGTGGGCCTCATGGGTTCCTCTTGAATGGGACCCTCTGTGTTCCCTGGACTTGTGTGGTTTTTTTTCTCTCCAATTAGGGAAGTTTTCCATCCTTACTTTTTCAAACAGGTTCTCTATCCCTTCCCCATCCTCTTCGCTTTCTGGTATCCCTGTTATACGGATATTATTTCATTTCAGATTGTCCTGCATTTCCCTAAATGTCTCTTCATTCTTTTTGAGTCTTTTCTCATTTTCTTGCTCTTTCTGGGAGCTTTTTTCTACCTTGTCCTCCAGGTCGCTGATTTGAGCCTCTGCTTCATCGAGCCTGCTTTTGATTCCT